TCACCTTATACTCTAAGCTTTATTTGGTTGGTAAATGACCGAGTTCAACAAATTAAATAAGTTAGTCCAGCAAGAAAAAGAGTCAATGGAATAAATAGTAATCGAATGAAGACTGGCTTATCTTCACTCACTGATAGTTTAAAATAGTCACAGTGTCATTAAAACTACAGCACTATGTCATTCTCAATCTGGCAAGCTAGGTGTGCAGATTAGGTGCACCTTTCTTGATACTTTACTTCATTTCATCAATTCCAATTGTTCTTCAACAGTTATTGAAGTGACTTAAAAGGCAGATTAACAGATGAAGAATGGCAGAAAGAGACAACTCTGCCATCTGTTGGTTCAATGCCCAAATAGCAACTAAGGCCAGAGATGATCTGAGCTGAAACCAGGAACCAGGAATTTCTTCCATAGTTCCCCTAGGGGTACAGCAGTCCAAGCATTGGGCCACCATCTGCTACTTCCTCAAACATTTATGAGGCAACTGCCTAAGAGAAGGATCAGTAAGGAGCTCTATCAGTGAGTTTTGCTGCCTAACAAACAAACCGTAAACATTTTGAGATAAATATTCCTGCTGCAGTGGAGAGAGGTGATTCTGAGGCTCCTCCGACCACAGCTAGGGTGTTCAAGTGCTGTTACAGAGCTTCCAGTGATCCAGGCTGGTGTCCTGAGAGCAAGCAGGATGATGTGGCTCTGCTTCTGGTCTCTCCCTTTTCCACCAGCAGTCAGGCTTGGACTAGGCACTTGTTCAAGCCCAGATGCATCACAGAAGTCCAAGGATGAATGCACATGGCCTCCTGAGGTCTAGGCTGGGACTGACACACATCCACTACTGTTTCATTGCATAGGATGAAGCAGGTCATGGGATTGAGCATACAGTCAAGGCTGCAGTCCATGATGGAAGGCACTACGAGGTGACACGGCTACATTCAGAGGTCTGTGCTGAATCAAAGCCCCGAGGTAGGAACTCCATCCAGATTGGTTGGATAGGTGATAGGGACCCAGGCATTAGTCATCATTCACTGCTTTCTCTGGGGCATGAGTAGGAAGCTGGATGGAGAGCAGAGCAAACGGAACTTGAAGGAGCACACAGATGTGGATGGCTCGCTTTCCAAGCAACAAACCCCGTGCCTCAGATCTGGTCCACGGCTTCATAAATCTTTGTCATGCTAGTGGATGTCTGTTTTTTCTGTTTGTGCCTGGATATCAGGACCAGGGAAAGACAGAAATATGTATCAATTACAAATAATTGAAAACAGCTTTACATCCTGCTCTCTTATTGTCTTTGCTCCAACCAGAAATGGTCCCAGGAATCAGTCCGCTGACTTTAGATAAGCAGCCTTATACCTGTAAGAACACATCATTCCCCTTTCCCTGAAGCATTTCCAATGAGCTGGTCAGCTCCTGTTCACCATTTCAGCATGACAGAACCATGCCTTGTTGGGAGCAATTTCACTATCCTGAACCATCTCATCAACACTTGGAAACATGTAGCATCAGTCAAACAAAAATGAATGACTGCAGGTCAGTGAAAGACTGTAGTAAGTAGGCCAACTGACACATTAACATAATACAAGCAATTTCAGGAAGGAAAACCTCTCTCTGATAAGGCCCACAATGAGTGACAACAGCAGACACAGGTCTACACATATTGGTCTACACATACAGGTACAAGTTCTGGCCAGAAAAGGCATGCTCAGATTCAGTTCACAGGGAGCCTGTGCAGCACACAGACAGAGGGCAGCTGCCACTGCATCCTCCCAGAGCCCCAACACCACATGGAAATCACATGGAACACTTCTTCTCCAGCACAAGGGAAACCACCCACATGTATAACACCCTCGCATCAATTCTGAGGACTCGTCAACAGCACTCTAGACTGGGACCCTGATCTCCTAGTGCAAATTCAAGACTGGGCTAAACTCTGCTCAGCAGTCCCTTACCATTTCTGAATGCAGTAAACCACAATAATTATAGCTAAAATCAGCACTGCAACAATAGGTAAAACAATCACGTAGCTATTGTTCTTCACAGGGTCTGCAAAAGAAAGAGAATAATGTTAAGAAGAAGCTACTTGCAAAGGCCAAAACATGACACAACCACTGCCAGGTCCAACGTGGTTTCTGTTCCCTTTCCCCTACCAGGTGAACAGCTATTCCATTCCTATCACATGCAACTTGACATGTCAGTGTGTTCAACCCTTGTCAGAAATGCACAGCAAGATGCAACACCACATACACAGGCCACACAAAGCTTCAAAGCTTCTACAGTATGCTTGCAAGGGAAAAAAGCTCAACTGAATTTGACCTGTGGTAATGCAACAAGATGAAGAATCAAGCATTGAAGTGTGGGGAGGGCACATTTTGGGGAGGGGAGGGGGGAATCCCAGTGCCTGTAAAACTGTATCGCATGATGCAATGTAATCAATTAAAACAAAAAGTAAAAAAAAGATGTTTGCAGGCAAAATTAAAAAAAAAAGCTTCTACAGCCAGTGTCAGCACACATGCTTAGTCATGCAGACATGCACACACAGGACATTCCCACTCCATGTGCCTCCCCCACACACTGCATGCACTTCCTTGCAACAAGCCACCACAAATACCCGTATGCCCAAGAACAATTCCTTCTTCCCTCTGGGAACATCCAAGGTCTCATCTGGCACACCCAGACCGCCTACCCCTGGATCTCTGCCTTCCTTACTCCCCTGGAACCAAGAAGATGCATTTCACCAGCAGAGTCATTCCCAACAACATCACAGTCATGACCAGGGCAATCATGATGAGTTCAATGACTACCCTCCCACTACCAACAACAGCTGGAGGGATTCTGCAGAAGCTCAGCTGTGTTGCACTAAAGATCTGACCTATGTTCTGTCCAGGCTCAGGACAGAACATAGGACTACTACTTGGCTTCTACCAGGAAACCGTTTACAATAGATCTAGTCCTGCTGGGAGGGATGTGACAAGGCTGCTTCTTGACCCGTGCCCACCCCTTCTCTTCAGGGCATTTGGATACAATCCTGTCCCTATCCCCATAGAGGCACGCAAGCTTACCACCCCATCCATCAAAGTGTGTCCTGAGGATGACAAGTGTGCCCTGCCCTTGCAGAATGGCTGGACTCCCCTGTGATGGCTGGGAATACAAAGGCCATGTACCATGATCAGATGGCAGCTCCACTTAGAGATGGCAGAATCACTGTTTGGCAAGAGCAATCCATCCATATGACAAAAACAAAACAAAACAAAGAACAATGTGCGGCATCAGAGAAATTCCTCAAGCTGATAAAGAACCTTTACCTAAAATCTATGGCCAACATCCTGAGGAAGAAAGTAAAAAATTTCAGGAGCAGGCAGTACATTGCAGTGAACTCCAGACCAGCAAAATAGGATAGGAACATAAAAGTACACAGACTTGAAAACATGATGAAACTATATTCGTTCATAGATAATGTGATTGATAGACAGCAATCGCAAAGATTCAACCAAAAAAAACCACAAACAAACAAAAAAGGCTTTGAGAACTAGTAAGGATAGTAGCAGCCTCAAGATAAGAAGCCCATGTACAAAAATCAATTACTTGTCTACAGAACAGTGATCAACTGAACTTTGAGATTAAAATAATGACATACATTCCTGTACACATGGCCAAAGGGGACATTCGGTCTCGTGGTTCAGGTGCAGGTTAGAATGCCTGTGCCCACACCACGGTACTCAGGCTCAGTCTCTGCACCAACCCCTGATTTCAGTTATCTGCTTTTGCAGACTCTAGGGGGCAGTGGTGATGGTTCAAGGGCAGGGTCCATTCAACCCAATAGGGTTGAGGACTGAGTCAGCTCCCAGCTGCCCTACTGCCTGCATCACACAATTCAAAGTCAACTAGTAAGATATCATTCTCTCTATTTTTCTCTCTGCCTCACAAATAAATGAATAAAAATTTAAACACACATGCAAATAAAAATATAGAGAGAAATATATAGACACACATATAGCCTTTAAGCTTACACACATACACACACGTGCGCACGCATATATATATTAGACACACCCAGACTCTATAAGAGAAACACACCATAGCCTGCTAAGGAAGACAGAGAGAGAAGAAGGCCAGAGGAAAGAAGACTCAAAAGAACCAACAATACGGACACCTTGCCTCAGATACAGCCTTCAAATGGGAGGAAACCACCTGTGCTCTTCAAGCCAACTGGTCCTCGTTCACCTCACGCTGCCCCAGCCACTTACCACTAAGTGCAGCCAGGGAGCATCAGCTCTGTTGTCCAAGTGCAGGGCTCTTAACTTCACATATGAGAGAAACAAGCAGCATGTCTGAGTGGATGGCTATTTTACTTACCATCACTTCCGAGTCTCTCCATTTTAATGCTTATGAAAATATTCCATTCTACATGTCTAACGATTTATGTATATATGCATATGAAAGGCAAAGTAACAGAAGAGAGAGAATGCATGCTCCCATACATTGCTAAGTCCCCAGATAAACACACAAACCAGGACTAAGCCAGGCTGAAGCTGCAAGCCAGGACCTCCATCCTGGGTCTCTCACATGGATGGCAGGAGCCCCAGCACTCAGGCCTACTGGGCTGCTTTCCCAGGAACAAGAGCAGGGAACTACTTTGGGAGAGGTGCAGCTGCACTAAACCAGCAACCTTAAGGGATGCCAGGGGCACAACACACCATGACACAACACGGACCCCACAAGCAGCCATCTTAACTGCTAGGCACAACCCTGACCTCCTATTTCAGTTGATCTGAAGACGTTTCCTACTGTTCCCCACAAGGGCTCAAACACTTTTCATGTCACTGTCTGCAAGAGTTTCCTTTTCTCCCCATCTCACCAGCATCTATTCACCAGACTGCTGGGTAACACACCACACTGGAGCTCAAGATGGAATTTGGGGATGTGTCTGTCCTGTCAGGCTTCATCATACCTCACTCCACTGCACATCTTGCATAACATCTTCCTAAGAATCCCTTTTTGGAAATGGGAAATCCAGGTGCAAGGATGCTAAATGTTTATGTCACTCACTTGGAAGCACAAAAATTGAAGGGGACCACAGTCCAGCAACCCTCTCTTTCCCAGCTGCCTCCCCAAGGAACCTGCTCAGATAAAATGACAACCCACACCCAGTGGGAATAATGCAATAACCACTATTGCTGTCTTCCACTCACTATGTGTCATGGACAGGGGCACATCCAACATTTCACCTGCATCTTCCCAACATGCCATCTCTCCCCACTCCTCCTGGGCAGATGCCATCACATTTGTTTCTAGCAAGGGCACCGAGATTCAGAGGCTTCACACCTTGCCCAGAGTCATCTCACCACCCACCAAAGCCCAGCTCTCTAGCCCACGGTGGGTCCCCAGACCAGCCTCTAACATCCATCCCACTCTGCACCTGCAGCCCCAGGGGATCACAGGCATTGCCCTCAGGCACTCACCCACAACTTCCAGCTGCACACTTTTCTCATCCATCTCAGGGGTGACCACCACCTTACAGAAGTACTCTCCAGCATCACTGAGCTGAATGGCTGGCAGGTGCAGTGAGGCCTCTCCCTTCATCAGCTTCTCCTGAGAGATGTTGGCTCCAGTTCGGTATGCCTTCTCGTGATCTCCATAATACTCAAACACAGGAACTTTCTCCTCTGATCCTTTTTTCCTCACAAACCAGACAACACCCACAGTGCTGATGTCCAGAGCGGGAGAACCAGGGATCTTGCAGGTGATGGTGATGTTGTCGTTGAGAAACACGGTCTGAGTCCTCCCTGCCATCTCCACCCGAAATCCTGTGGAAACAGGAGAACTCAGTTACACAGAGACCCTTGACACAAACACGCCTGCAACTCCAAGCAGAACCACATAACTACAAATGCACAACTTCATGAAGTGGACAGGGAATGATTCAGGACACAGGTTCTTTGTCCATGGCCCTGTTACAGCTCCAATGTGGAGAACTTCAAATCCAGGCCCATGCAACCTATTGGTTCCCGGAATCTTTAGCTGCACGCTGTGAAGCATGAGGCCGATGAACACAGCAAGAGGGCAGTTTCTAGCACAGACGTATATGAGGAAGAGCAGAGGATGATGGGCCAAAGGGAAAGCTCACAGGACAGCAGCCAGGCAGGGCTCCTTCAGCAGGAACAGCCCCTCAGAGCAGGGAGCCTGGAGGGTGAGGTGGGCGCGGTTGGTGGCTATGTCTCATGAGAAGTTTTAACAAGGGAATTTGAAAACAGTGTTTGGGGTTGTGGGGTGAACACATGCTGCATTCTTGGCCTCCTCTGCTCCACTGGGTGCAATTATTACGAAAATGAGAAGCTCTATCACGTGTGTGTGTGTGTGTGTGTGTGTGTGTGTGTGTGTGTGTGTGTGTGTAGGGTGAAGAGATGATATCTGTCTTAAACATACTCCCAGGAGTGGGCACAGACAACTCCAGTCACCTGGTCTCTCTGCGGCCTTGCAACACAGCCTGCTTCTCCTCTGAGGAATCAACACGTTTTGGCTTTTATTGCTTTTTGAGCAGTAAGCATGCTCGCCAGCAAAGGTTAATGAAAAGATTATATACACCTGACAACCTTGTAGGTCTCTCAATAAAGAACTCAATGCAATGTTCTCTGTCTCTTTCCTTACCACTCTTGCTTTCTAGCTCAGCACAACTTCTCAGCTGGGCTAAGCAAGTGCTGTGCATCACAGGAGGGCCCACTTGTTCTCTCTGCCTTCTGGTCATTCCTGCTCTGACACCTTCAGTCCCTCCCTAACACACAGGAAAGCCTCTGCAGCAGCTTTGTCCTTCTCTTGCAAGGGAATCTGCTTGGCTTTCACTCTGATTTCCTTGAGTTCTGGAAGCAGCCCAGCAATTTCTCTAAAGAAGGCAGCTGAGGACCTGGCAGCTTGGCCTAGCAGCTAAAGTCCTTGCCTTGAATGCCCCAGGATCCCATATTGGTGTCGGCTCTAATCCCAGCAGCTCCACTTCCCCTCTAGCTTCCTGCTTGTGGCCTGAGAAAGCAGTCGAGGACAGCCTAAAGCCTTGGGACCCTACACCTGTGTGGGATACCCGGAAGAAGTTTCTGGATCCTGGCTTCGGATCGGCATAGTATCGGCCGTTGTGCTCACTTGGGGAGTGAATCATCGGACAGAAGATCTTCCTCTCTGTCTCTTCTTCTCTCTGTATAACTGACTTTCCAATAAATAAATAAATCTTAAAAAAAAAAAAAAGAAGGCAGCTGGGATTCTCTTTCTATTACAGAAAATGTAAAACACAAACAACATTACTTTCATTTTATCTTGTTTTAGACAGCTTGTATTTTTCAAAACCCATTGATTCCCTCTCCAAAAGGAATTGGGACAATCTAGGCAGCACTACCCTGTCATGGAATAGCAGCCCAATCTCGTGAGATACACATGATAGTTTGTATTCAACATAACTTGTACTTATGCTGCTATAAACCTTGAGGCCCTAGCGCATTGTGCCACTCATTGTAGCCAGGTCAGGCTGCACCAGAATGTCACAGAGCCAATATCCATATGCGATTATTTCTCATATTGCAAAAGTGATGAATTCCAACACTTTTGTACACTTTAGTTTCCGTACACATGTGGTCTTATCCATCACAGCCAATACCCTAACACAGGACAGACTAAGGCTAAAACATGCCCAACAAACCCCCTCATGTAGATTTGCCGAGCCTGTGTGGAATGTCATTTGGTGAAGACACAGAAGGAATTAAACGCAAAATTTTTGTAATTTGTATTATTTTTTATTAGATAGGAATACATACAGAGAGAAGAAGAGACAGTGAGAAAGCTCTTCCATGTGCTAGGTCATTCCGTAAGTGCTCACAGCAGCTGAGCCAATCTGAAGGCAGAAACCAAGAATCTCCTTTGGGTCACCCAGGCAGGTGCACAGTCCTAAGCTCTTGGGCCATCCTCTACTGTTTTTCCCAGGCCACACTAGGGAGCCAGATGGGAAGTGAATCAGTCGAGACATGAACCATTTACCATGTGGGAAACAGGCAAATGCTAGGTGAAGATTTAGCCAATGGGCTATCATGCTGGGACCAAAACCAAATTTTAATAGTAACTTTTTCCTTTTGATTTGTTTTCTGCCTTCACATTCAATACCCAGTGTCTGGCTTTTGATGTCAGAACTTCTCTACATAGATTCATCCCAACATAAGGACATGATAAGCAGCCCACACATCCCACATGGCAGTATACCAGTGCTGGCACACACAGTTTCATGGGAGCATAGATAAAAGTGTTCAGCAGCACCAAGTGCCAAACCAGTGTCAGGGTACCACAGGTGCTCTGAAAAAGCCACAACACCCCATGAAAGCCAAGGTGCATCACTGGTACACAGTTCTTGCCAAGTGAACCCACTCTCAAACCATCCTGGGGATGCTATCTCAGCTGGCATAAGAAAATGAAGGGTTAATATGGAAAAGTTGTCAGACCTGTGCTACTTCATCTTGAATGGAAACCCTCTGCTTTGGTGCTGAGTTATCATGCTAAACCTATCATGCAACATCAAGTACACATTGTGGACAGGTGTTTGTAAAATTATTCAACATTGTACAACATTTCAAAACAGCGAAGTAGCAACGAGTACCTTTCTCTACAAAGCAAATTTAAAACATTAAGTCAACAAACTCTCCTGGAAATGTATCTTTATCAGTTGTTACGGGATAGAGTTTTTTAATATACAACAATTATATCCACAATATATTTAAGGGAAAACAGTAACATAAATTCCTACAGAACATCTTTCACAATATTTTTATTTTTTCTGGGTATCTATGATTTCCAGATCAGGCAAAAGCACATTTCTGTGCAAGCCATCCAATCTGTGCCATCTCTTATGCTGACTTCATCAGTCTAAGATGGGCAGGCAATTCCATTTCATTTTCTAGGACATTCTAAAATTTCTGCTGACAGTGCCTTCCCAATTTCTGGATGCAAGCAAGCATCTCTGAAGAAAAGGGGGCTACATTGTGAGAACTGGTTGTGGTGCATTTAATCACCTGGGCAACAACATGGAGCACACTTGCACAGACCTACCCGGTCTAAGACAGCCGCCCAATGTGGCTCTTGCTGTTCTCAAGAGTCTGTGTTAAACATGAGATGCATGTGGTGTGAGTTCTGTGCTCTTTTAGAGGTTTATCTCCTACAGAATTCTTCCCTGAAGCTTTTGTTCCCTCCTCCTCTTCCTCGTGGTTATGGTCTTCCTCACCATGAGCAGCACCAAATTTCACTTTCCTCTGTCCTATCCTGCTCCCACATTGGGGCCCAAGGCTTGGCACACCCCTGCTCAGATGGTCTCCCATTCTCGGCTTGGCCTCTCTGCTCAGATCAGGACTAAAGCGCCCTGGTCCTGACAAGCACTTCATTCCAACCACCGGAGGCGCTGTTGCCCAAGTTTACTGCATTTCCTCCGTGTTTAAGGCACTTTCTGAACAAGTCATTCATCGCCTCCTCTTCATCCTGAGTGCCCACCGGGGCCATAATTCACCAGCCCCGGGTCCCACTCGCCTCCTTGTCCACAATACCGCAATCATCTGTCCGTCTAATGCGCGACCACGATCAGAAAGTTCTGGAGCCCATGGACCGCTCGTGGGCGCCTTAAAGAAGATGATCCCTACAGATAAACTCTTCCAGGCAGTCCCGCACTCCCCGTGTGGAGAAGTGCCGCTCTGAATACAGTAGGCCTTCGGGACATCCACCTGTTGATCCACGCTAATCCCCTCGTTCGCCGGCGACCTGTGCCCCACACTGCACCCCGCACCCCGCCCCGCACCCCACCGCGTCCCCCGGGCCTCCCACCGTTCCCTCCGTGCGCACCGCCCTACCTGCGGCTTGCAGTGCACCCCACAGCACCGGGAAAAGACACCAGAACCGCCAGGGCGACAAGCCCCCACTCCTCCTGGCCATTTCGGTTTTCCTCAAGTTCATTTCCGATGCGTGGAGTGGCGATGAGGGGATCTTGTAGCTGAGGGAAGGAGCGAAGCAATGCGGCGTTCTAGAAGCTGGCAAGTGGCT